CCATTTTGGCGTCTCGCTAGTATGGTTCATGGGATATCTGTCCACCTCTTCCTTAGCTACGCCTCTTGCCACTGTCACTGCACCCCCACCCCCCGAAAATCTTAAATGCCCCCGGGAGAATTTTTCTGAAAGAAACACTGGGGATGAGTGAGAGCTTACTGTAAGAACGTACATGGGGGATGATTTAAAAAGGGTACGGGTGAAATGGGGGAGGGGTATACAATTTGAATTTTTTTTGCGTACGTAACACAAGGATGGTGATTTTATATGGCATGAAAAAATATTTTCATAAAGAAAGGCGCCTTAAATTTTGCTACGGGCACTTATTGGTTGTTTACACCCTGAATAAATTTGAACACCTACTTGGGCACAATAGGCCTATTATTATTACCAAAAGTTTGTCGACACCTATTCTACTGTACACGATAACCGGCTGTTGCGAATGGGTACCTAATGGGACGGGGCGGAAATGGAGATTTCACCGAAGTCTCCCGAATGAAATTTATGCAATGCGCCAGGGGAAATTTTGAATAACTTGATAAGTCTTCATCTAACCCTTTGGGGACAACAGTGAGAGTTGTGATTATTGGTGGTTGACACAATTGTATTGTGCTCGTGACTCCAAAAAACTGTAATCGAGAGGCTGATGTGTGTGTGTGTGGAGGGGTTGGGGGGAGGGGGGGGGGATTATTGATTGTTGATACACTTTCATCCGGCGACAACGCCAAAAACTGTATGCCGTGTGGTCAGGCGACAGCTGACTGTTTTAAATACATATATATGAGGGTTTATAAACTTTTATAACCTCACGGAAATGCAGGACATGAGGACTATGCCTTTATTTGGTTCTTAGAGTGTTGTATAACAGGCGTGGTAGATGAAATCGTAAGTAAACGTTCTAAGAAAATAGATCCTTAGAAACATCGCAAGAAACAGTTGTAAGAAAAAGGACAATATCTGAAAATATACGAATAGTATAGGTTAAAAATGTCCCATCGTTTTGCATTACACAGCAAACATGTTAAATAGCTCTGAAGTTACAGGTTTAGACAACATATACTTAACTAACTATAGAAATGCATGCTGACCATATGTACAAATAGCAGTTAAAATTATATACTTGTTATAATGTTTAATTATAAAGAAATCACGTGGCAGAGTTTAGCTTGTTGCACGTACACCGTCTTACCTTCAGAATTAGTGTGAGATTTGGGGGCTAACATACAGGTGTGAGATGAGAGGGCTAACATACAGATGTGAGATTTGGGGGCTAACATACAGGTGTGAGATTTGGGGGCTAACATACAGGTGTGAGATGTGAGGGCTAACATACAGGTGAAGAGATTTGGGGGCTAACTTACAGGTGTGAGATTAGGGGGTTAACATACAGGTGTGAGATGTGGGGACTAACATACAGGTGTGAGATGTGAGGGCTAACATACAGGTGTAGGGAGTTGGGGGCTAACATACAGGTGTGAGATGTGAGGGCTAACATACAGGTGTGAGATGAAGATGAGAGGGCTAACATACATATGTGAGATTAGGGGGCTAACATACAGGTGTGAGATTTGGGGGCTAACATACAGGTGTGATATGTGAGGGCTAACATACAGGTGAAGAGATTTGGGGGCTAACTTACAGGTGTGAGATTAGGGGGTTAACATACAGGTGTGAGATTTGGGGACTAACATACAGGTGTGAGATGTGAGGGCTAACATACAGGTGAAGAGATTTGGGGGCTAACATACAGGTGTGAGATGTGAGGGCTAACATACAGGTGTGAGATGTTAGGGCTAACATACAGGTGTGAGATTTGGGGGCTAACATACAGGTGTGAGATGTGAGGGCTAATATACAGGTGTGATATGTTAGGGCTAACATACAGGTGTGAGATTTGGGGGCTAACATGCAGGTGTGAGATGTGAGGGCTAACATAAAGGTGTGAGATGTGAGGGCTAACATGCAGGTGTGAGATGTGAGGGCTAACATAAAGGTGTGAGATTTGGGGGCTAACATGCAGGTGTGAGATGTGAGGGCTAACATAAAGGTGTGAGATGTGAGGGCTAACATAAAGGTGTGAGATGTGAGGGCTAACATAAAGGTGTGAGATGTGAAGGCTAACATAAAGGTGTGAGATGTGAGGTCTAACAAAAAGGTGTGAGATGTGAGGTCTAACATACAGGTGTGAGATGTGAGGGCTAACATAAAGGTGTGAGATCTGAGGTCTAACATAAAGGTGTGAGATGTGAGGGCTAACATACAGGTGTGAGATGTGAGGGCTAACATACAGGTCTAGAAATTACTATTTTATCGTCGCCCATGTATTATGATTAATAGAACCAGTACATGCCTATTCATAGTTTGTAATTTCTAGTCAACGTTGTATTCGGAGGTACAAGATAATTAAATTAGCGATCAGTCCGGTTCTCAAACTTATCCATTCAAGTTCAATCGCATGACTTTGCAACTTGGTGTATCCATCACATGTGTCCCAGGTCAAATCCGTTTCTTCTCCAAAGAGATAGGCGATTTGTATCACCAATGACCACTGCAAAGACGATTTGATCAGACAAGAACCGGTGTTTATAAAGAACATCGCAACAGACGACGAAAGAAAGACGCGGTTTGATTTTAAATTTGCAAACGAGCAACAAGAGATGTCTGCAGAAACGTTCAATTTAGAATATGTTTTTGGTTAGTAAACCATGTTTCTAGCTAATAATAATAATAACTAGTGGTCTTATATAGCGCGGTACCCCAGCTTAAGGCTGGGCTCACCGTGCTGTACATAAAAATATTAGCAAAAGAGACATAATCGTGACATTAAAATAAAATACATTTATAAAATAAAGAACAGCGTGTAACCAAAAAAAAACAACAAAAAACAAACAAATGTATATTCACCCACTCCACCCCAGAACTTTGACAAGGCAAACCATGGACAGCAGCTAGCAGGATCGTTTATCGGTCAGAGGAAGGGGATCAGTCAGGGTAATATAGTTTAAAGAGATGTGTTTAGAGTGCAGTTTTGAAGGTCTGGGTGGTTGGTATGTTGCGGATGTGTAGTGGCGAAGAATTCCATTGTTTGGGGGCGCAGAAAGAGAAAGACCGTTCACCATATGTTTTAGTGTGTGTCTTGGGAACGGACAGAATACGCTACTTCAAATATCAAATTTTGTTGACATTTTTGGCGTTCTATATGATAATCAGCAACTCCGTACCCCGAATCTGGATCATTTGAGCAAACACCGTGCGGATTTGAAAATGTTGATGAGAAGTGTTGATTCACAGGGTGTAGCTAGCTCGGACAAACTAGTAACCAGAAGAACTGAAGGTCCTAAGAGAAATTTTTCCAGGAGAAATACTTATACAGCGTCTTCAATTTCTTGTGCTGCTTGAAGATTCGTTTCCAAATCCTACGATTGCTTACAAAATAATACTGGCAAACCGTCTCTGTCTTCTTGGGAGCGTACAGCTCGTTTAGCTAGGTCCTTTTCGGAATTTATTTTTGACAACCATGAGATTGGAAACAGCCGAGCTAAATGAGTAATTCAGCTTAGGTTAATCCAACTGTTACAGAATTGTTTTAATTTAAAAAAATTCGGAAGCTACCGGTAATCAAGTAAAAAAAAATTTTCGAGATTGTCTGACCAATTATGGCGTGTAAGACCCAGATCGACTTTGACGTGTCTGATGACCGTGATATGCAGGGCTCAAAGGTCTCGCAAAATTGCTTAAAGACCCAGCATCCGGCCCCAGAAAAGTAATATTTTTAAAAAAAAATAATCACATAAATATCTCAATGCGAATAATACATGTTTACTCCCCCCCCCCTCCTCCACCTTTTTTTTCCTACTTTAAAAATGTTTCAATGGTGAAGGTACTCTTTAGGGAGCTAATTCATTTCCAGCCTGTATAAGCATTATGGCATTAAGTCCTACAACCAGCGTCGTGAACATGGTTTAGTTGCAACGTGAAATGTGTCAGCTACAAAGTTCTCAGAACTTCTTCACGTCATTTGGAAATCGGAAGAAGTCTATAACACATTCCACATACCCAGTTCATATTAGCACAAATATATTCAAAGCAACTCCTTCCAAGTTGACACAAGTACCCCCCCCCCCCGATTAAGTGTAAATGGGTCTCCTCTGTTTAAGGCTTTTTAAATTTCTGATAATATTAGTTCGCCTGATGGAAATTAGATCGATAGAGCAAGAGAAGAAGCATAACGGGACTTCCGTTACAGCTTACATGAGAGTTGCTTTAAATAGCATTTATTTATGACGGGCTTCTTGGACACTAGGAAGTTGATAAAGAATGTCCTTAAAAAAACGGTCAAATATTCAACGTTTAACATCAGGACGCTAAACCCACAACTGAGCTTTATCATCTCAGCTGTTAAGATTATCCCAACATTAAAGAGATTTATGCTAAACATGTAACAAACGTATAATCAAGGTACTAAAAAAGCAATATTGCCAAAAATTATAAAGCGATTTAAAGAAATTATATTATTATATATAGTTATAGCTTTGCACTTTAAAAATACTGCTTTTTTTTCTTGTAAAAATGTGCAGTGATCTCAGAAATAATTTCATCAAATGAAATATCTCTTTTGTCCGCATTCTTCCTGAAACAAAATTCTACTTTTTATCACTACCGATAAAAGGTTCTTGAAAAGTATTATAATATATAAACATATATTTATTAAAACTTGAAATATCTGTTTCAGGTTCTTTATTAAGTAGCATAAAGTAATGCGAAAGACAATTTAAAAAGGGCAATGCTAGAACAAAACTCTAGCAGCAAAATATAATACATGTTTATATTTAATATATAATATAGATAATATAAATAAAAAAATAGCTTCAATACGTGGGGGTTTTCAGTACCTAGGTTCTAGGTATATTTCAATCATTCGTTTGATTCGAATGGAAGAATGTGTTGGTGCAGTCAAGAGCGCCCCCAACCCTCACCCCCCTTCCCCCCCCCCTTTCCATGGACTTTCGTATCCATTGATTCTGTGGAGTGTGTTCTATAGCGTACCATTCAAATTTGCCCTTGATAATTGGTCTCATTTATTGCGGATTATTCAACCAGGGAAATTGAATTATGAATTCTGGTGGACGACGACGAGGACCATGGCACCAAATATGTTCAACTGCCGTGAACGTAGTTTTTAAACCCTCCAACAAAGAAAATAATCTCTGACTAAAAAGGTATCTTTCCTTAACTTGTCACGTTATATAATTAGGTGGTGGTGGCATAGCCTCTATATAATCCGTGTCAGGATTGAAAGTCGTACTGTGCCAATTTGGAGATTTTAACCTCATAGAGGTATCGTAATCAGGGGGAGGAGAGTTAGGTTCCGTGGAGTTATGGTTGCATCGAAATGTCTGTGGTATTTTCATTGTTGGAGTTGACCTGTGGGGCTGCTGCGTTGTGGCATCTCTTAGTTGGTCATTTTCAATTCGCTGCCTATGGTCATCTCGTGACAAAGTGTGTGCGGAAGACGCGTTGACTTGAGCATCATTGAAAAGTGTCCGAATCTCGTAGATCTCAGAATACGCTGGGGGCTGGGGCGATGATTCGTTCAACTCGTCACGACAGGGGCGGATTGGTCGTGGGGGCAACGGGAGGGCGAGTATCGGAGACACACTGTTGTTTACGACATCGTCTGAAAATTCACAGTTAAAAAAAAGAAAATAACTTCACACATCTTGATATTGATGCCTTACAATATTTATTAAGAAGTGATGGGTGACCGAGCGGTCTAAACTGACTAAAGAGCTGGTGGTCTGAGTTCAATCCCCACCAAGGCCAAAGTCCAAAGCACCCGGGGTCTGAATTTGTGTTACTAATTATTTCATCGTTTGTCTCCGCTAGGCCACACAAAACCTATCTTACAACCCATTCATTGTTTGACTTCCTTGATGACCACCGAACTTTCGAATGACGTATCACTTGGACGGCAAAACATCTAAGCGAAAGCAAAGCATCTAAGAAGAGGCAAACCATCTATGAGAAGGCAAACCCTATTTTATACATGTACAGACTGTTGGTGCGTTTAAGTAACACAGTACAAGTACAACTCTTTCAAATTACTCAACCGATGATACGTCACTAAACTTTTTATTTCACGCCCATGAACTATATTAATATTCTGATGTCCTAACCATTTTTAAACCGAATCCTTTTTTTTTTTTTACCCCATACTTAAATTGAGACGATTTAATTTTCTGAAAAAAATATTACGCGCCAAAAGCAGTTGCGTTATTTTTAAAAAAAAATATATCATTTACCCTTAGTGGTCGGGAATTATATTTTACGAGCTATTGAAATCATTATTTAATCATACTTTCTTTCAAACATTTAGAATTATTTGTAATATCCTTTCAATACTAAATTCGCTTATTAGGAAGCAGTCACATCAGAAGCGTAATATATATAAATAAGAGGTACTTATAATTATACAATTAATTTTAAATTATTTTCTTTTTTTAAATTAGTGATGGATTAACGGCGATTGAATATGGCGGTTCCTAAGAAGGGGAATGCATTCATCCTTACCCGAGAAGTTAAGAGTGTTATAGAAATGTCCTTCACACTCAGGAATGTCGTAATGGTCGGTGAAAAGTGGGATGGCATTGGGCCGCTTCCTTCTCTTCACTAACTTCCTCCGTACCAGGATTATCATCACCGCACAGACGATTGTCCCAATGATCCCCAGTAGAATTAAACTTAAAAAATTAAGCTTATCTTCACTTTTATCATTGTCCCTTTTGTCGTAAAACTCCGTCTTAGTCATTAAATGTGCACCGTTAAGCTTTGGGATGGTTGTGCTGGTAGTGGTGGTGCTGGTAGGGGTGGTGCTGGTAGGGGTGGTCATAGTTGAGTCGGTGGAATAACTGGAGGTAGTGGGAAAATTGGATGTTTGATTTTCCAGAAGATTTGTGGACAAGGTGTTGGGTAGATAAGACGTTCGTGTACTTTGCATAGCTGTTAGGGGGGAAAAAATCCACTTAAGTTATTTAAAAAAATCAATCCAAATTAAGAAAATCAGATTGTTATTTGAATATTTATATAAATAATTAGATTTTGAAATTTGTTGATATTAATTTCTTTTCAACGAAAATTTGCTATGATTTTAAGAAAGAAATGAGAAATACAAAATTATTTTTAATTGCTTGATCATTTAATCCAATGTTGATGAATTCTTCACCAAATTATTATAAAGCAATGTTTAAACATAGTCCTCTAAAATATTAAGTGCATAAATGGAAGAAATATTCAATGATAATATAGGGGATGGTACCTTCTTTATCTTTGTCGCAGACTCCATCGACCAAAACACGTGTTGTGTTAATAAGTATTTCATCTTCTCTCCCCGCTAGCCATAGAAAACATGTTATGACCATCTCTTTTTCGACTTCCTTGATGATCAGCGAACTTTCGAATGACGAATCACTTGGGTCCTTACGACGGGCCCAATATCTTTGTGTATCATTGATGTAGCACTCATCGTGACTGTAGTAGCAGTTAGCAATCAAAGTGTCAGCGTCACCAGACTTCCAGTAAATATGTCTGTTTTTATTGTGGAATAAATAGGCATGAATACAAGAGATTATGAGATTCTCGCTAATTAAGGCAATGATTTGGATTGACTCTCTTTCTTTCACTCATAAAAATGCATATAAATATTTAAAACTCACACATCCAATATTTAAAGAACCAGCGTTAAAAAAAATCCAATTTTCCCATGATAAATAATTGTGTCCTTCCTCTCTATGTATATCTGGAACTAACGCTGTTAGAACGCGAGACAACCGTAGAAACAGCTTTGGTTTTTCAGGAGAATGTTCAATACTATTTTTAGCGCTGACACTTTCCCTATCTTGAACGCTTATGTGCGTTTGTCAACGTTGCCTAAGCTCCAACTGACACGTGTTCCCAGTAGTGAAAATATATATCTGTTGTGTGCAGTTGTTGTCTGAAAAAAAAAGGTATCTTGAATACGGAAGAAGTCATCAAAGTTGAGCATTATTTTGCCCTCAAGGTAGTGACTGAAAAGTATACGACCATTTTTTCGAGAAGAAAGGCGATGAACAATTCCGAGAGAGATTTGATTGACGGCACCAAATGACACAGTTATGTTGTATATCGTTACGAAATTTCGCCATTCTGTAACTTTAGTGTGTCCACTGAAGGCGAATACTGTGCATTAATTTTCCACACACTACAAAGATTTCGGAAAGACACAAATTTTGAACAGGCTTGATGTAGAAACTAATATTTCTTGAAACAAATTCACAAATCTATCACTAAATAACCCCTACCTCCTTTTGATATTCACTGCACCATTGAAAACTTCAATATTCCATACATGGGCGCCCGCAGGGGGGCAAGGGGGGGGCACTCCCCCCCCCCATAGATTGGATAAAAAAAAATTTAGACAAAAATAGACAAAAATGTATTAAAGTAAAGAGAAAATAAAGAGAAAGTAACTAAGCTGATGTCCTGTCCGTTCGTTCACCATACATATACGCTACAGTAAATTAAAATTACATTAAAAATTACTAAAAAATGTTTGCACCCCCCCCTGAAAGTTAATCGATAGCCTCCCCCCTTAGAAAGTTTTCTGCGGGCGCCCATGATTCTATATCATCAATATTTACATAATCGAAAGTTAAGTCCTCTAACATTTATATTTTTCTAAAAAGGTCGAGCACTTCAACGTTTAAGACATTTGGACAGTATTTTTTTTTTTTTTTCACTTAATATGTTTTTTTCGATAATTTTTTTCAAGTTATTATTGCCAGCACTGAACTCACCTGAAGGTTTCAGCGGCTTGACCAGAACAAATTTGGACAGTATTTTTTTTTTTTTTTTTTTCACTTAATATGTTTTTTTCGATAATTTTTTTCAAGTGATTATTGCCAGCACTGAACTCACCTGAAAGTGTCAGCGGCTTGACCAGAACAGGTGAGGTTCACACTTTTTCTTTGTGAGACCGCCAAACAAGACTCAGCACATAACGCCGTACCAAGAGACATTGCTACAATAGCAGCAGTCACCAGCATTGTTGGCTAATGGACGGTATACAAAGACCAGGTGGGATTTTAAAGCGCTACCTTCAGTTTTGTGATATTTTGACATTTAAAATGCTCTATTTAATTAGAAAGTTAAATTTCTCTTGTTATAATCTTTTCTTTTTTAAATAAGAAAGAAAGCGATAAAATTAGAAGCCAGATAAACATTCAAAATAGCCCCATTGGTCATTAAGGGGAATCGGAAATTTCCAGGGTCTTGTTTTGGTTTCTGTTTCCAGACGGGTTTACGCCGCACCTTATAGAGCAGTGGTTCTCAACCTTCCTATTACCACGACCCTTTATTACAGTTCCTCATGTTGTGGCGACCCCCAACCACAAAATTATTTTCGTTGCTACTTCACAAACTGTAGGGTATGTGTTTTCGAATGATCTTAGGCGACCCCTGTGAAAGGGTCGTTCGACCCACAGATTGAGAACCGCTGTAATAGAAATAGAGGTTGAGATCTAGGCCGCCAGATTCCAGTTTAGAAATCAGTTTATTGTTATCTGATAAATCCTTTCGGAATTAAATGTAGAATAAATACTCAATGCTTCAATGACTAAAAGTGAGATTTATATATTATTATATGATGTGCAAGTTACACATATAAATTAAATAAATATAGGCCTGATGCGCTGACGCGAAAACTGACTTCAGGTAACTGCAATAATTTAACTATTAATACGACGACAATTTAAAATATTAGAAAGGCCTTATGGTTAAATGATTTTATTTTTTGTATTATCGGTAAATGACATTCATAATCAACCTTTAACTTACCACATTAAATTTTCCACTGGTCTGATTCATTCAAAGTTTGTAATGCAGCCTAAATTTTTTTTTTTTTAATAATTAACGAAAACTGCAACTTTTTCTAAGAAAATGCTATTCGGAAAAACATATCGAAAATGAAACATAATTATAATAACTACGAACGAAATTACCTAAGCCCTTGGCTTATATAAATTTCGAATAAATATATTCAATATGTCTAATTATTTATACCAGCTTTGTTAAACATAGAAATGTTTATGATATTTATACCAGTACATATAGTGACAATATTCATATTATTTAATAGTTAATATTTCTAATTATTTTTTTAAAGTCAGCTTTTCTTTTTTTAGCTTATATATATATATATATATATATATATATATATATAATAAATATTATCGGGTATTCCCGATATTTCTGTCACCATGTCTCACTTTATTATGCTTCCTTTACGAATGAACGTGTGGCTCAAATTCCATTCAAATTGAATGTTTCACTATTAACAACTTTAAAAAGAGCCAAGTCTTTGTGCTTCACGAATTAACACCCCCCTCCACACACACACACACACACACACACACAC